CAGACATTAAGATTGCAATGAATATAATTTATATAAAGTCAATCATGTAAAAGGGATAAATAGGAACGAAAAAAGGGCGTTACAAAACCTGAGTATGATACGGTTAAGAAAGCAAAAGAATCATGGGTCTCAACTCAGAATTTTTAAAACAGGAGGGAGACTGAGAAGACCATTTTCGCGAGACACCCATTATTATTATACTGTTGAACCCTAGAAGGCTGACATAAAAACCATCTATTTATCAAAGCAAGGTTATTTTGTACCAATTTGAGGGTTTGGAAGATAATTTCAAGTAAACGTCACTTACCAAATATTTACAATCTTGATTATAATAGAAAGTGGTGGTTTAGCGGAGGAAACGGTGGTAAATGTGGAAAGCCTCTAAATAGCGGAATATTGAGACCCATGAAGAATACCAAAACATTAAAAATCCAGGTGATCTTGTAGTTCCGTTCGTTAAAGTCCACAATCCATTTGTTTGCAACCAGATCTAGATCTAGAGTAGAAATCTGGAAGTCTTGATGACCAAATAGGCAACACAAAGAACAGGGATGCAACCTCTGCATAACATCAAATTATGGTAACGGAGTGTCTATGTACACGGTAACCGGGCACCTAGCCTCAGTGTCTACGTACACGGTAACCGGGCACGTAGTACGTAGTCTCAGTGTCATGTGCTCGGTAACTGGGCATATAGCCTTGAGCAATATCTACGTACACGGTAATCGGCAATAGGGCATGTAGTCTCAGTGTCAGCAGAGACTATATATAATTTTTATACATACGTCTCTGTGTCACACACACGGTAACCGGGCAGTTCAGAACTCCAAGTCTAGTATTGTCATCCAGTGTTGCCTTCATCCCCACCCCTCTCCCGACTGTACCTTTAAAAAAAAAAAATAATCTCCCCTCATTCCGGAGCCCTATACTTCGCAGCGCACAGACTTTGAATGAACTTTGATGACCCCAACCTGTACTCACAATGTGATGCACACGCACAGGTTCACTGACCTGTCACGATGGCCAGCCCGACAAGACCCTTGTATGACTTTCTTTTTTTTCAGCAAGTGACAGCACAGGACAAATATTGATTTATTTTCATTATGTTTACCGTGTACGTAGATACTGAGACCAGGTGCCCGGTTACTGTGTACGTAGACACTCTGTAAAAAAATCCAGCCCCCCTGAAAGGAAGTGGCTATTCTCACCCGGGGTGAGAATAAAAATACGATCTACCTCTCACCCCGGGTGAGACTTGCCGGCGTAAGCTATTCTCACCCAGTGTGAAACAAGACCTGTTTTTCCTCATTTTGGAATACTGTCTATCGGTGTGGATTATCAAATTGATAAAAGCCAAGAAAAAATTACGTTAAAGCACACAAAGCTAATTTGATCGTCTTCAAAGATGCTATGGCTATTTCACTTTTCGAATCGAGCCGAACTACACGGGTCGCCATTTTGTTTTGCCTGGAAGTTCTCGCAAGATCTACTCCTCCCCTTTCCCTCTCTCTGTCTTTTTCTGAATACTGTCTATCGGTGTGGACGATCAAATTGACCAAAACAAAGTTTTAAAATGATGTTAAAAAACAAAACTAAATTAATTTGGTTGTCTACAAAGATGCTACGGCTATTCAACTTTCCGAATCGAGCCGAACTACGCGGGTCGCCATTTTGTTTTGCCCGGAAGTTCTCACGCTACTCCTCTCTCTCTCTCTTTCTCTCTCTCCACTGCCCACAGACAAAATTGCACGCTTTTAGGCTAACACTAACAGTAGTAATAGATCTAGAACGTTTGTTCACAGCACAGAATTCTATAAATTCTGTTATCACAGTGTAGAATTCTGTGGTTCAGGGTGAACGCTTCACTGGTTGGCCTAGGCTATAATCAGAGATGCCAACCACAGAAAACCGAAATGAGTATTGGGAAACATGAAAATGTGTATTTTCAGGGGAAAATGTGTATTTTCAGGGGAAAATGTGTATTCCCCACGACCGACCGACTAACCAGTAATAGTAAAATGTTCAAGGTGTCCAGCAATATTTCCTGAAAATAAATTACTAGCTCACCAGCTCGAAAAAGGGAGCACACACGCGTACAATATAATACATGTATCCAGTCAACAACATGTCAGTGTTCAATGTCGCACTGGGGTCTTGTTTGACTCAAGTATTTCAGTCTATTTTCCTCTCATTATTATATAAAAAATAAATCCTGCTTTGAGAGTTCAGAAGGGCCTAGAACAAGAACTTCGACTATCAAGAACCAGTCTGGGTGTCATGATTCATATTATGAACTGACAGAATCAAATTATTGCTCAAACTCAGAGAAAAGCAATAACTTGAATGGCTCAAGTAGACCCATGCACCGTGAGAGTAGTAACAACTGTGGTAGGGCAAGATGCAGTGACACTGAAAATCTGCCTGTCTTGAACAGAAAGCTAAACATACACTGTAGGTATAATTTACTATCACCCATCCAATGAAACGCGCACACTTTATTTCAATAACACAGACTTTCAAAGTATGAGGGGTCCCGATTCCGCACACGGCCTGCACCAACGCGCGCTTTGCACAAAACTAATCAAAGTTCTGAAATGTGCTTCCAAGTTTTTGTCCTCTGGTGTTGCCTTAACCCCCCCCCCCCCCCCCCCGATAGTATCTTAAACCCCCAAAAAATCAATAATCTCCTCCTCTATGCCGTAGTCATATACTTCGCAGTGCCGTTACTCCCACCAAAGACGGTCTTTGCTCACCCGATGCCGTTATTTATGATGCGAACGCGCGCAGGTTCAGTGACCGGTCACGACGGCGAGCCAGACAATCTAAAAATCGGACGACGCTTGTATTTTCTTTTTTTTATTCCCACAAGTGACAGCACAGCGACGAGTCCGAGTATTTCTTACATTTAATTTGCACGGCGACATTGCGTTTATACTGCACAACCTGCATGCCACAAATGTTGCGTTATCAGACAACTGCTGGCAAACTTCTCGGTGGTAACGAAAGCGAAAGTAGATCTTGATTTTCCCGATCGAGCCTCGGTGTCACATACGCTTCCGCCTGCCGCCATAGCTGCCTATTTGCGTGAAAGTGAAACGTACTCTCCGGACGGGGAAAAGCTGAACGAATATATAATATACGATCGTGACCGGCAAAATTTAACTTACTGACCACATCGGACTTGGTTTTCAAATACTCCAGTTCTGCGATACTGATACTATTTTGACAAAAGAAGGGACTTGAGATAATTAGGTTTACCCGCCCGAGCTGAATCTCATATTTTTCGCATTCCAGGATGCGTATTTTTTCATGAAAAGTCGTATTCGCGTATTTTCGGCCAAAAATTGTACTAAAATACGTAAAATCGTACTGGTTGGCATCTCTCTGTATAATGGTGAAAGCCCACCGGGTGAGAATAGCCAAAAGACTCGCCTGCGCTATTCTCACCCCGGGTGAGAATAGAGGTGGCCCCCTGAAAACCCCCTCCACCCCCCCTCCATATTCTAATTAGGTCAAGCCCCCTCTGAAACCCCCCCACTCTTGACTCTTGGGGCTCAAATCGGCGAATAATAATTGGGGGGTGGGAAATGCCGATAAATCACCATTCTTTGCTTGAATTTTTATTTTCTTGCTTTACTTTAAAATAGTAGTGTTTCCTTCCAGTCTTACGCTTGCTTAGTTTAGTTCACTCCTCCACGATTACCTGGCAATTCAGAGTCTCTGGCGTTCTGGCGTTCAGCTTGGACTTTAACGAACGAAACTACAAAATCGCCAAAATCCATTCCATTCGACACTTTTCCAACCATCTCTCCGCCCACACGCTGACCTTAATTTGTACTGTACCGTGGCGTAGGCCTATTTTTCAACTTTAAAATTTAAATAGCGAGTGTGGCCATGCATCACATTCACAACAATATTGCATTTAAAAAGCACACCGCGGACACTGCTGCTAAATAAACGCACTACACTCTTACCTGCATTATAACATGTTTGGGAAGACTTGACTTTACAAGCAACTGGACGAATAAATCACGGTCAACTTGTTCTTGATTCGGGCAAACGATATCGTACACCTCCCGGTAAAACGGGGGGATAGAGCCTGGAGACAAAAGACGGAAAAGACTGTTTCACAAGATTAGGGGTCTAAAGCAAGCAAGTATAGAATTTCATAACCAAAGGTACATATATTTTTTCGCTAAATGTATCGTTAAATATGTAATGTACAGTTACAATTACTTTAACTGGAACTTGCGAGCAGAAACACCCACCGAACGACAGATCGGCCGTCATCTTGGATCAAGGCAAGTCATGTGACATGTTTGTTGTGGTTAGCTGTTTTTGTAGGGGAGGCCACAATAATTTGTCAACAAACTTCATGAGCCCTGTATACAATCAAATTATAAAAGGCCTAGGAACCAAATACATCGTATTTGCAACATTATTATGTTGTTTTTTTTCCATTTGGTTTTGAACAGAAGTATCTGAATCTATCTGGAAAGATTTTATCAATCTTGAACGATAATTGAATAAAGAAGATTGCGAAGAAATTTAAAAATTCGATCTTCTCTGAATTTCAGAGTCCGAATGGAAGAACATTGCCAAGTTGCACAACATATCCTCTTGTTGTTAGAGCATGCATTATTACGCTATCGTAGCCTTTTCAGAAGAAAGGCAACTGCTTTTATCAGTGAGCAATTTTATATATAGATCTAATATTAGTGAAAAAAAACACAAAATTGTCTGCTGGGGGGGGGGGGAGATTATGAAAACACCCTGTGGAGAAGATCTTCATTTTTACAATGAAGGGACATAAAAGGTTAAGATATTTCAGGGTTCAATCCTACTCTCTTTACTTTATTGTAGCAATAAATGGTGAACAATATCACTATCAGTTCATTTTGATTCACACTGTAATATCTGAAATAAAAACAAAACACAAAACAGGCTGACATGACAACGGTTGAGCGCTTCTTTTTCGCGGAAGGAAGACATGGAAACCTGGCCAAGAAAATATTGTTCGGAAAAACAATGTTGTGATTGAAATCGAAAGTAGATCTAGTCTGCGAGGCCAATATATCTTGTCTGCTTTTTTCCTTTTCTTTTTATTTTTTTAGATGGCCCAATTTAGTAAGGACTCTTTCTTCCTTTTTGCCCTGTTGCAGTCGTTTTTTTCCTCTCATTTTCCCCGGTGTATTGTTTGATATCTTTACTTTTACCGCACCACTGACGCTTCTACTCTATACAGTACTATACTGTAAGTATATTATTTTTAGAATTCATCTATCTGGACACGATGGTCCCGGCTAGTACTGTTATGCTCCGTTACATAATATACCTTTGGCCTCTCTCACTGTGATTTGGACTGGGCCATTCGGCTGACGCATGACACATTGCAGGGCATTGGCCAGACAGTTTTCAATTTTCATTTATTACAAATTTTCCCCACAATTGTAATTGCAGAGCTGACTAGCATGAACGGGAACGTGAAAGAATACTTGCCACAGAGTCAGAGTGGGCCAGCTGATCTTGCTCCAGCTTATAGAGACCGGGCGCACTCTGGCACTGCAAAAGGCATGGCAGTGATGGTGTGGAGAATTATCAACTCCCTCATGGCTACTTTTTTCTTCTTAGCAGCGATGGTCAATGTAAGTGGAATGTACCAGAATTGTGAATGTTTTTAATGGTTTGGAGAGCACTTGTTGAATATTGAAACACTTTAACAGGAGTGGAATGTTTTTATGAGGCACAGTTGACAGTTTTATGGCCATGGAAAAAGTAATTTAACCTGCCATGACGAGTGTGACCTGTGTATAATATTAATACACGGCCACCTGTCTGTTAGAATGGCCACTTTCCATTTCCCCCACAAGCGCTTTTTCTATATAATTCCACATGTCCTGTGTAAACGGTCACCTGTACAACACGGCCACGGTCACCATACATTTTATCAACCAACAAACAAAATTACTTGTCGACTAAGTTGGCCACCTATATCGCCCGGCGCTTTGTCGTAAATTATAATATATTGGCCCCTGATCGTGGGTGAGCCGTTATATAATCTGTTCACCTGTCATAGTCCATGCAATGAATGATCATGTTGCGAAGGTTAAATACATGTCTACAAGTTTATCAATTGATAACAGTAAATTTTCAGTCGCTGTGAGGGAAGTTTGTGATCCGTCATAACGTAAAAAAGCCCGGCCCACAACTCACATTATGAATTGTAAGTGAGATGAACGGTCTTTGGATGCCAACATGAACTTGCGACAGAAGCTTGATCGCTCCCTCTCCGAGTGGCGACCCATGACATGAGTTTGTTTTACCATGGCACTCAGCCATCCCCTTCTGACCGGTTACATTTTGTTTTAGTCTACCCTTGCTCAAAATCAGCAACAACAAAAAACAAAACTAACCAAAAAAAGACATGTAATTAAAAGACAACTTTCTCACCCAGTTTTATATACTTTACGGTGGCCGTAAGCCTGAGCTGACCTCTGGTTGGGACCACAGAAGATGTGGTTTGTTTTGTTCTCATTCTGATCGGATCAGTCCTGCCTGAGATGGCCACCTGTCATACACGACAGTCACTTTTCTCCTCGACAATGGGTGGCCGTCTTTTACAGGTTTGACTGTAGTTGTATAGTTCTGAGTAAATCAAAAACTTCATAATTTGATGTCTGTTCCTTACTCATAATGATGACTTCTTTTTTCATACTTAGAAATTTGTTTGAGGTACTTGATTAACACCATTTTGATGTTGTAGTCATGGTTTTAAAATGCCAGTGGGCCAATTTGACTTTACTAACTAGTGTCAGTGACTAACTAGTTTTATGTTACAAGTCTGAAAAAGCCATATAAGTTACATCATTTTATAGGGTTGTTAACAAAATTGTCCTGTGCCTCTATGCCAATACATTCGAACCTGCCATGACAGCCACCTGTATAATCTGTTCAAATGGCCACTTTTCATCTCCCCCCCCCCCCCCCCCCCCAGTGTTTTTTTCTCTCTCTCTTGTGTAAAACAATGACCTGTCCAAAGCAGCCTAGACCACCTTATTTTATATCAACCCACAGCCAAATTTACCAGTCTGGTACGGCCAAACGTTCATATCGCCTGATGCTTTGTCATAAATTTTGATTCGGCCCCCTACGCTGTGGACGGGCCGTCATAATCTATTCACCCATCGTTATTGTAGTCCTTCCAATGAATGTTTACCCAAGTTGACCAATGGCTAATGATAAATTTTCAACTGTTGGTGAGGGAATCATGAATCTGTTATACCTCTAAGCCCCGTCCACAACTCGTACACAAATCGTAGGTGAGATGACTGGTCACTTTTTTGTTTATCTGATCTGTAAACAAAGTAACAATGGGTGTTTACGTGAACTTGCGACAGAAGTGTCGCTCGTTCTCCGCATGGTGTTTGTTTTACCATGGCACTTGGTTTTCATCATCTTACATGTTCTGTTTTTTTTATCCTTGCACAAAAACAGCAACAAAAAAGCTAACTAAAAAAAACAAAACAATCACACCCCCCCAAAAAAAACCCCAAATCCTTCTTACACCCCCCCCCCTTTTTTTTCAAAAGAAAGCAATTCCATTTAGCTTTACGACAGTCCTAACCCTGTGGTCAGCCCTTTTGTTGACCTCAGATGGGAATAGTTTGCATTCTGCCTTTTGATCAGTCCTGTTGATGACGGCCACCTGTGTTATACAGCGACTTTTCTCCTTGACAGTGGATGGCCGTTTTAGACAGGTTTGACTGTATGCCTGTCTTCTGGGCGTAAACTGAAAAGTAAATAAAAGACGAAAAGAAATTAACTAAAATTTACGCTTATTACAAACACAGGTTTCATCACCCAAAATTTCTTTGAAAGCTATGAAAACTTTTTGTCGAGACTTCTAATCACTGTGTTTAGAGCATTTATAGTGTCAACGTCATTACAGAGAGTGGTTTAAATGTTTGGTGAGTTGTGCACTTGTCACTCCAACTTAAAAAATTGGTTTTATTAAACTGTATTTGTGCATGTGAACTGTGACTTAATAGCTCAAGAAGTAACTTTTGGGTAGAGTCAAACCCCATTACGCCATGAACCTTGGGGCAAATATGAAGTTGGTTGTTTAGCAGGGCTGGTGGCCTGAAAGGGTTTTGATGCTGTCTGTCATTTCAGTTAAATAGCATAAACTAACTATTTGAGCATTACATCATGACCGCATACTGCTGGATCAGAGGCTACTGAATACTTGGCAGATAACGAGACAACGATAAGGGGGGATGGGGGGGGGGGGGAGCAAATCAGTCACAATTGTACAGGAGTACAATTAATATTTTTGCTTCTCTCTTCGTTGCAAATTTTTTTCTTGCCATTTTTTTTTTTTTTCATTTTCATTTTTTGTTTTTCCCAGGTAAATGATGGTGACTGGTACATCTGGGTTGTAAGTATGATGATGTGTTTCTTTCAAACTGAATGATTTCAGATGAGAATAGATAGTAGTAAGGTTTACTCTCTTGTGTACTGAAAAATTTTTCGTTATTGATTGGCTTCCTGGTTAACATGATTGTGTCTTGTCAACTTTCTCTTACTGGTTATGATTAGAATATATACATATATATGTATTGTACTTGTGTAACATAAAAGCTGTACAAGTAACAACTGTTCTGACATCAGCCGTTTTTCAGTGACATACCTGATCTTTGTGGAGTTATTTTTGTGTTAACTATTCCACCACACCTGTTTTGTTTTGCTTTTGAAAAAATTTGTTTTATGTTGTTTTTTTACCATGTTTAGCCGCTGTATGGTTTTCCGTGTGGGCTTTGTGCTCTTGCAGTGTTGAGACCAAGCATTACAGGTGAGCCTCTCCGTTCAATCTTTAGATAAATGGTCCATTATTTTGTTTTGTTTGCTGTAAAAGTCATGAATGTCTTGCATATTACATGTTCTAAGTACTGTGGGTCCCACTTTTAACAGTTTAGGCTATAGCAGGATTATGATGAATCCCCAAGTCCAATCTCTTGTAATGTGTGTATATACAAGGTATATAGTAAAACAGTTCTTTTATAGTTATAGCAAGCATTTGGATATACATGCTCAGCTATAACAGTGGTCCAGCCATAGAAAAAAATGATAATCTTATATCAGAGGTGATCAATTAATTAAAAGGAATTTCCTCCAGCCTGATGTTTTAAAGGAAATAAGTACAGTCAAACCTATATAATATAACCCTCGTCAGGGAAAAGTGGACATCATAGACAGGTGATCAAAATGAAGAAAACAAACCATTCTCTTCTGAGGTCCTTTTCGGAAGTTGGCGCAGGCTGAGGTGAATTAAAATGTTGAACATTTTTTTTAAAAATTGTCAAGGGGTGGTGTTGTTAATTATTTTGTGCCAGGCTAAAATAAAATGAAAGATGTCAGATAAGATAGGTCACCACCACTCAGCAAACAAGCAATACATTATCTCAGGTTCATTGTGACATCCATTGTTGTGAACTGGGTACACAGAACAACTGCTTATCTCACTATGAATTGTATATAAGATGTCGGAGGGGCTTATAGGTTATGGCGTATCTCACGCTTCCCTCACCAGCAGGTGAAAATTTGTTACCGACTGATCAACTTTGGGTAAACAGTGGGAGGGACATGCCCAACATGGTTTGCTCATTCTTTAGAGGGACTAACAATAACGACAGGTGAATGGATTATGACAGCTGCTCTGCAGCATCAGGGGCTGATATATAATTTCTGACAAAGCATAGGGCGATGAGAGATTTGCGTGGCCATCTTAGACAGGTTTTTGGTTTATGAAATATAGCAGCCATATTGGACAGGTTATCATTTTATGCAGTGCTACTATACACAGTGGAACTTACCATGACGGCTACCTTTATAATACAGCTACTTCCTATTTCCCCGCTTTTTTTTTCGATTTTATTTCACTGTGTAAAATGGGCACCTGTCCAACGCAGCCACAGCTACCCTATTTTAACAACGATCAACCAAAATAACCTTCCTGAGACGGCCAGCCACAAATCTTTCATCATCGAGCGCTTTTTCATAAACTATGTTGTGGCCCCTGATGCTGTCGACGAGCTGTCATAATCCATCCATCTGTTGTTATTGTTGGTCCCTCCAATGTCCAATCATGTTGGGTAAGTTCCTTCCACTGTTGTCTACCCAAGCCGACCACCCGGAACAATAAATTTTCTGCTGCTGATGAGTGAAGTGTGTGGTCTGTCATAACCCATAAGCCCGGCCCACAACTCATGCACAAATTGCAAGTGAGGTTGTTTTGTTTTACCCTTGCACACTGTCTTCCCCATTTGATGCAGTTTGTAGAATTTAACACTTATTAGCAGTTGTGAGTTTTCCTCTCCCTTCATAAAAAAATGTTTCACTTATTCAGATAAATCCAGCTGTTGATGGGGGCATGAATGTAAAAATGTAATCCATGTCCTGAGCCTGCAACCAACTTTAGTTTGGAACTCAGAATGGAATGTTTAAAAACAACAACAACCCTCATCCCCTCTTACCCCCCCCCCCCCCCCCCAAAAAAAAAAAATCCAAAATCCAAAAAAAATAAATCTATGAGACAAAAAAAACCCATCCTGATCAGCAGCAACAAATAATAAAAACCTTCTTATCCCCCCCCCCCCCTGTTTAATTAGCCTAATGGCAGTCCTTAGCCTCATCTCCATTTTGGACCTCAAAAGGGAATGGTTTATTTTCTTCATTTTCATTTGACTGTACATAGAAAAAAACGCAAGGGGAAATGGAAAATGGCCGTTTGTACTGGTGGCCATCTTGGCAGGTTGGACTGTATTGAAGTGACCTATCCTTGAATGTAATTAAATATTTTGCTATGAGAATGTGTGAGTTTAAGAATAATTACATGTTCAGTTCAGCCAAATTCTAAGTCATGCTAATGCTTTTCTTCTTGCAACTTTCTCAGGGCACATCTTGTTCCGCTTAATTGCTGGAACAGAGTTTTCTTTATGTCTCCTTTATGGGATATACCAAATCTACTCACTAACAACGGTTATCTCTGGTGTTTTGGAAAATCATCTTCAGCATGAGGAGGGGAGGTAATTTCATTGTTTGTTCTCTTTGCTAAATCTGCCCTTGTCCATTGTATTATGTTGGTTCAGTTTTTAAGTTGTGAAGTTATGATCCAAAAAGTCTTTCTCAGCATTGTCTTGGCCGCATCATGTTTATATTTGGCACTTTGGTTGGATGTAACCTTTTGAATGAAAAATGTTCATGTGGGTAGCAAAGAAATTGTAATTGTATCATGTATCTCACAGCGTCACTTTTCGCCTGATTCTGTTACTTTTAGTTAGCGTGACTCAGCAGCCCGCCGGAGCTCCCCGGCTTGGGGTCACAGGGTTAATGAGCCCTGAAGCGACTTTTCCGGTGTCAGTTAGGAAGTTCGCATTTTTGACTATGTTTAAAATGATATAACTTCTTCCCCATCCCACACAGCAAACCATTACGTGGATGTACTCAAAGCTCAATGTCTTGAGATTTATTCTGCGTTAGAATGGTTAATTTCTGTGCCTTAGTTTTTGTTCTAGACAAGTGTTTGTAGAGTACCCAATTTGTCTTATTTTAGTTACAAACTTAGGAATAAATGAATGTTAATTTTAAAAAGGCACGACAGATGTCTCCAAAATCTGTGTTAAACAGACTACGAATATCATGTCTTTTACCATGAGAAATCTTAAATCTGCGCGAGTAGAAATAGTAAAGTTATAAGAGAAGAAAGATGCACATCTGCATTTTTAAACTAAAGACGATCAGCGTTAGCTCTTATTTTACTATTAAACAAGAGAAAGTTACTCTGCGTTTGTTCATGAATCATGCGGTATCTGTGGCAGCCGACAAACAACTAAAATGATATAATATAGAATCTAAGCGATTAAAAAACCCACAAAACCGTGTAAATACATGGGTAGAGATAAACTTCTTGTATGGAATAAAAATAATGACAGCTAACACATTCATTCTTAGTTTTTGTGTCGGAAATATGAGCGGACACAATTATGAATGTAAAGAAATCAGTCACATTGTCAGTTATTGCAAATGGTCATAGAAACGAAAAATGAAGCTGGAAAAGTCTGGTGCTGATTCAGTGTCCCTGGAAAGCTAGAAATTATTCTTATAACCCAATTACGAGAAGTCATCCCTATTATTCAGTCAACTTACAAAACCTAGACTTAACGTTTTAAGAAAAGTAAAGAATTTCTGGAGTGTAACAGATACTGTTCGTGTATTAGATCTACATTGAAGATGTATTTTAGCTCTAAAATCGATTTGTACTTTTCATAGAGAAACTTCATGGTAACTTTTATAAACTTTCGAGAAAATATGCGAATATTCACGATTACGTTGTATTTGGAGGAATTACTTCATAGTGAATTGTGTGCCCGATGGATAAAATTGCAAAATTACAGCTTTCTATTATATGCCCAGATACCATCTTTTCTGAGTATCTGCACCAATGCTATGTCGTTCGTGTTCCAAAAGTTTGACAGTTTTTGACGAGGCCTTTTTTTTATATTGATTTTTTTTCATTCACGCTAGTCCAAAAAAAATTACAATTTAGCATTGCCGACTCCAGCGCGTCTAACGAAATAACCAGACAAGTTACAACGTCCGTTCTTTTTTGAGTCTCAAGAGCAGAAATGCATGCTTTGGGTGCACTAAATGAGAATTACCATAAATACAAGGATACACCTTAAATTGTACCTTGAAAAGTACCAAAAATTAAGTTGGCCCAGACAGAGCGACGACAGGGAGCTGACCCCCGTGACCCCGACGTGATAAGGCGTCCGGCGGGGAACCCCCCGCGGCAACTAAAATTCCACTGCCGGTGCGCCGTGATCTACCAATATTTGAGAAATCATTATTGATCATTATTGGTATTGAAATTGATAATTTGGAGGTTCTTTTGAGATTACGTCTTTCTGAGAGAACAAAAATATAGATAGGATGACAAACTGGCTTGTTAATCCTTCTAACAATTGACATAGCAAGAGTCTATCACCTCAACATAATTTAGGCTTACAATGAGAAAAGTGGTAATACTTAAACTTAAGACAGACATTAGATGAATAAAGTGGAAGGATTTCATGATACAGGAAAAAATAAGCCAGGTGCAATCATTGTAACAGGCATGCTTTATTTAATCATTGCTATCTTTTAATGCATCACAATATGTCATTTTGTTTCCCAGAGAACTTGGTGGCCTTATTATAATACTGGCATGGACAGGTCTCTTCATGTTTAGCGGCTTTGGAAGGTTTGGCTTTTAACATTTTATGTAGTCTATGTATCTCTCATTGTGTGTCCTGTGATACCGGCACTCATTTCTGTCTTTCAGCGTTTATTTAACCATATATAGCTCCTGAAGATTTGAGCCGATACTTATATGTCCCAAAATCCTGAAAAGGGGAGATAATCCTCTAAAAATATCATATATATGTGTGTTTAACATAAAATTCATTTAATATAAAATTCTTTACAAATGATCTGGAAAAAAAGAAATACTAGGAATAAAATACTACTTCCAACTAGACAGTTTAGGCTGAAGGCAAATTATGTGTTTCTTCTATCAGTTATAACTGTCGGGTTTTCAGCTGTTACCCATCTATTTTGTCAAATTATAAAACTGATCCGCTCGTCCCGTGTCTCAAACATATGATATTACAATAGACCAGGGTTGGGTTGATTTAAATCAGTTGATTTTTTAAATTTAAATCAACTTCATTTTTAAAATAAAAATCAGTGATTTAAATCACTTTAAAAAAAATTTATTTTTATTCAGTTTTTACATATTTCAACATTCAGAATTCCTTTCCTAGGTTTCATAAAACAGATATAAGGTTTAGTACACTAATATAATCATGCTTAAAAGTCTGCTTTCCCCCCTTTCACTGTAAAATAATACTGTATTCAATTTACTTTTTTTCCCCATAATTGAAATCAGAGCTGGGTTGATTTAAATCAGGTCGATTTAAATCAGGTTGATTTAAATCAGTTGATTTTTTTATTTTAATCAACTTGATTTGTGATTTAAATCACTTTTTAAAAAATGTATTCTGTTTTTACATATTTAAATATTCAGAATTCCTTTCCTTGGTTTTATTTGACAGATATAAGGTTTAGTAGACTAATATAATCATGCTTAAAAGTCTGCTTTCCCCCCTGTCACTGTAAGTAGTAAATTAATACAGTATTCAATTTACTTTTTTTTCATAATTGAAATTAGCATTTTCTTTTTCTTTTTAGACAAACACAAGCGCGCACACACACACACGCTCACTGTAATAAAATACAAGTTTATCTATGCATAATTACCCCCTCCCCCCCTTTCCTTTTAGACTGACATTTTCTTCATTTTTTGTCTGTAGCCATAATTCACGGATAATAGCAGATTAAGGCTTTCATTTGCAGTTGCTTATATTAATCATTAGTTAATATAAAGACAATGCATTCTGCACTAAAAGAACATACTTTTAGCCACCAAAAATCCCAAACTGTGGCGACATTTTTTAAAAAATCAAAAATTTTTATTTTTAAAAATCTGATTTATAAAAAAAAAATCGATTTTTTAATATTTTTATTTAAAAAATCAAAAAAATCACCACCCTGCAATAGACTTACAAACAAAATGTCTTTGGTCAGGATCGCTTCTCAGGCTGACTTTTTTTTTGTATTCAAAGTTTCTTTGGATTTTCCAAGTTTCAACTCCATCACACTTAACACCCTCTATTTCATCGTATTTACTTTAAAAATTCACACACACACTATTTCTGGGTCAATTTCAACAATTCAAAAACTCAAAGAAATAAGAACAACTGTACTTTTGCTTTATAGCCTACTTTTCAGTCAATTCGAATCTGATATTCTTCCTAGACCTTATGTCATAAATATGCATTGTGGGGGCTCTCATGGCCTAGAGGTTAAGGTGTTTGCCTCTCATTCAACAGGTTCCGGGTTCGAATGTGGATATCTACCTGAAATTTTCTTCTCTAAATTTTTCTCCTTTCACATCCTTTCCTGCTCTGTAACAATATTCTGTCATCTGCTTTCGTCTCCTCTTTCTTCGTCCACCCCTCACCTCCTTTGCTCCCTCCTCTGGGCTCCTGATTCTTTCTGAAGCCTTTCCACTGCTTCTCCTTGGCTCCTTCTTTCTGCTGTCTTTCAGCCACATCCCTGAGCTCATGTCTTATGGTAGGTAAGATCTATACCTAGTCTTCTCGGATAGGGGCAACAAATCTTGGAGGTCCTGTATACAAGTTGCGCACGTTAAAGATCGGGTGGCACAAAGTCGATAAGAGTAGGCTGCGGCTGCCACTCTGGCAAAATTCAAAATTTCCTACCAACTGAAAATGTTTGGTGTGTCCCGCAACTGAAAAATGTTTGGTGTATCCCGCGTAGCACTGTAAAACACTAACCCCCCAAAAAAGAGAGATGCATACCACAGCAGTGTCGTGCATTCAGCGATTGAAATGCCAGAGCGGTCGCAGGCTTAGGACTGCTGTAAGTTTCTTTTGGAGGAGAGGGGGAGTTTTTGTGGCTGCTGTGAGTGTTAAATTCTACAAAGTGTATTGCTGTGAAACATTTGGTGATACACACGACCCACCAAAAATAAATCAATACAACCATTGCATACTTGCAGTTGTGGTTTAAAAAGCACTTCAACGCTTAAGTTGAATTCAACTTAACCGTTTGAATTTAATAAATGTAAAGAAAAAGAGGTGCTGGCACCTGAGAAAAAAAATCAACTTAATAGAAGATCACCACAATTAGAGTTGACTATAGTATGATTTTGCAATGCCGTAAAGTGATTTTTGAAATCCCATTCTGGTTTGTGATGTTTGGAAGAAAAGAAAAAGCTTTTTTGTTCTTACCCACCTCCCTCTGCTGGTTACAAAATTTCTCTGCTATTAATGTCTGATGAACATGCAAAGCTTGAAACTTCTGATACTGTAAAATTGCACTTTTCTTTATGTGCTTTCTGTCCTGCTTGTTTGTTTGTGTTTGCATGTGTGTGTATGTGTGTGTGTGTGTGTGTGTGTGTCTGTCTGTGTGTTCATGAGAAGTTTCATTGAGTGGCAAATTTTTAGGGAATGAGGGTGTGTACTTTATTATGTATATATATTATATATATATACACTGAACGCCATTAAAAACGCAACGTTTTCAAAATATTATAAAAAAGCCAAATAATGAAATATGCTTCGATCGTCACGCTATTTCCATTAGCTTTTTTCATCTCAATACAGTAAACTATGCTTTAGTAAAGTGTGTTCATTAGTTGCTATTATATTATAAAAGAACACTACATTATTTACCTTGAAGATGACCCGTTGTTCTTTCCAAACAAAAGTCCTAGCTTTTTTTCGATCAATTAAAAAAATTTCTTTCATTACAAGACTCCTCAACTTAGTGAACCTTATTGAAACTTTCGCATTCGCCTTGTTCATAGTGGAAAATTTTCCTGAGAAGCAGCAATACGGCTAAAATGCAGTGCTTGTATTGTTCTCGGCTTATACAAAGATTTTAGCCCACTTCATGCATGGAGTGCGTAAAAATGTTTCTTTCATCAGTGTGAGGCGCGGAGCAGTACGTTCAGGACTTAGATAAAGAACGCCTTATTTAGGATTGCAATTAACGAAGCCGCGACAACAGTGCCATCTTCACGGTGCAAAACAGCACGAAGAAAAAATCAGAATCTCTCAGTCATCCAATGCGACTCTCCTACCCTTACACCTGTCCACATAACAAACAGCACAGTTTCTGGAAGATCATAAAATGAATGTCATGGACTGGCCAGTGTATGAACAATGTCTCCAACAGGGCATGTATGGGATCAGTCCCGCAAAGTGTGTGCCGTTTTGCGAATCTGCAGCTACCAGGAGATCACACTGGCGATTTTCTCAACAAAACATTGAAAATGTTATATAATCCATGTGAAGAAGTGTTTTGGTCTGTATAAATGTTAATGATGGCCATACAATTTACTAAGGGTGAGAGATCTTTATTGAGTTTCGATTTTGTGTTTGTCTGCAAATTTGTCTTAAGGGGGTACTCTGAAAGAAGGACAATGTATGGAAATAAGTCTAAATGTGTGATCGAAATGATTCACTTTTGTTGGAAATTGAATAAACTTAAAAAACACTTCTTTTTAATCTATACTCATTTGATACAAAAGTGCTCAGACTCTGCAAAGTGTTGCGTTTTTAATGGCGTTCAGTATATCTAGCATAAAGAGTTGAATACTACAGTTGTTGGGAAGGGGATGGAGTAGATAGAAACTGTGTACTTATTTTAGTCTGCTGTATTGATTTCAATATTCTATTTATTTGGTTCATTTTTTTTTTTCAGTTCCCAACCAATGAGCAACAGCACAATGTTTGCTGTGTTCCTGTGGACGACTGGCACATTGGCTGTTCTCCCTCTCCTGACCTGGTCTTTATGCTTTGTAGGGGACTGGCATCGAAAACTGGCTCATTGCAACAATATGTTCTAGGACTAATTCTACCTGTTGGGTAAAGGAAAAGTTCAACTTTTCTTACCTTGTCCAGCTGCCTTAATGTTTTTCTTCTGATGTGTGCTTTTTCTCCCTTTGATCTTTCTACAAATGGAATCTGCTATATCCCCCCAAAAAAGAAGAAAAATTGCAGCTTGTTGTAATGTTGGCCTTATTTTCTTGCTCATGATTGAATTGATGCTCTTTATGAGCTTGCAGTAAAGATTCTTCTTTTTTACAATGTTGACTTGCCCAACACTTTGCCTTGCTTGAAGCCGCACAGAATGTCATTTCATCTTCATGGATTCAGTGCCTATTACAGGGGCCTTTTTTGCTAATTTTTTTTTGGTGTGATGTCAGTGTGGTATACCATAAGTAGCCTACCAGTTTGCTGCTTTACTCCTTTCAGTGATATTAATATTATTGCTAAATTACTTAAGTTAAATGTGAACATTATTTTCTGTCATGATCCCCTGAGAGCTCACATAGGACTTGGCAATAATTTCCTTGGCTGATCTGTTCTTTCGGTCTTTTGGGGAAATACAGTGTTGCATCATTTTTAAGTGTTTGCCACTATTGTTCACATTCATCTTTACTTTACCTTCTAAGGCGTTGGTAATTTTTGTTTTTAAAGTGACTGATTGAAAAAAGAAACCATTCAAGATATTTTCAGTGTTTTGAAGAGCTTGTAACATGGATTTATTGTAGCTTTTTCTGTGCCTAGATGTGAAATTTTGAAGCTTATTGTAATGGAAAGACAGAGAAATACTGTATTTTTATAATATATGCATATAATTGTCATTGATCTTGGAAATTCCAACAGACTGTTGATTAAAGGGGTTTAGATATATGCCATTTCACTCTTGGACAAGTAATTTAATGCCCTGTATTTGTGCACAGTCAAACTTTCTACTGCCATCTGTTATACTACCAAACCCTGCTTATAAACTATTTGCCTCTTTAAACCATCAACTGTCTGGGTTATATTATTTGAGTTTTCCTTCCATCTGGAAACACCCAAATTAACGTCCGTATATCTGATGTCACGCTGACTGGACAGTTTAAAGCATCATTTTTACCTAAATGCTAAATACTTCAATGAAGTCATAAGTAAGCATATTTACATCATTTTGGGAAAAAATGCTTTTACGATAGAAAGTCTGAGAATGCAAGGAAAATAAATCGCTCTGTAAATCTTCTGTCTTTTGAGAAAAAGTACAGTAGGCTTAGGCTTATTTTGATAGGTTTAATTATACTTCAGTCCCCCTTTTTTGAGAATTAGTTTAGATTGTCTTCCTCGCATGACATCATAGTTGGCCAAACAGAGAGTGGAGACCCTGGAGATGCGTATCGGTAGTAGTAGTAGTTGTACTAGGCCAGGTAAGCTTCGAATGGAGGGCCAAAGTAGACCTTTACATGTAGGCCTACCATTTTGATGAATGTCTTCTCTTTGAGAATGACGTTTGGTGTTTGACTTTTGTTGTTTATTATTATTTTAAAATTTCCATCCATTCCAGAGTGATTTTATACTTACTGAAAATGTTATTGATATTCTTCTTAAAGTATTAATCTTAAATACATGTATTTTTAAAAATAATGCAACAGTTTACTTTGCAGATCATGCATGAAATGACTTTTGAAAATTCTGTTTTAAAAGTATGCCTTGAACGGCTTAGTTCACCCCCCAAAAAATTATTTTAAGCATTATTATAGGATGAATGATTATATAATGAATTTTCTCTTTTTGTTTGACAGTTTTACCACCATATTCATTACTTGAGGACGCCACTGGTAGGTCCTACTTCTTTTCTTTCCCTCTGTTGTTTCTGACCGTTTGTCTTACTTTTTCCCAGCAGCACTAAATGACCATTATTGTGTCGATGTGCTTCTCTCTACTCCAAGCAAATACCATTACTTGTATTTCCTTCAGTACTATTTTTTTTACCAAGTAATCTGTTTTTTGCAATTTTGTTTTATCTTATTTCTGTTTTCCTCGGTCATAGTATGACAGCCTTTATGACTTTTTAATTTTCCAACCACTAATATTTTTGTTGCCTTCTATTTTTTGTTTGCACTGTGTCTTTATTGCCTTTTAGGACCTTTTTACACCACTGCTGTTTTTATATGTGGTTAATTCCTGTCAAGTCTCTCTGTATGTGTGTCTCTCTCTCTGTGTCTCTGTCTGTCTGTCTGTCTGTCTGTCTGTCTGTCTGTCTGTCTGTCTGTCTGTCTGTCTGTCTGTCTGTTTGTCTGTCTCGCTCTCTCTGTCTCTCTCTCTCTCTCTGTCTGTCTGTCTGTCTGTCTGTCTGTCTGTCTGTCTGTCTGTCTGTCTCTCTCTCTCTCTCTCTCTCTCTCTCTCTCTCTCTCTCTCTCTCTCTCTCTCTCTCTCTCTCTCTCTCTCTCTCTCTCTCTCTCTCTCTCTCTCTCTCTCTCTCTCTCTCTCTCTCTCTCTCTCTCTCTCTCTCTCTCTCTCTCTCTCTCTCTGTCTGTCTCTTCCTCTCTCCCACTCCCTGTTTTTCTGTCTCTTTCTCATTTTATTTTTGTATCAGATACATTTTTATTTGCCGAGTCGTACATAGTTGATTCCACTTGTGTTGAACTTGCGGAGTTCATCATCCGTTAAGTTGATCTTTTTCTCAGGTCCCAGTACTTATTCTTCTTTACAGGTCCCAACTGTTAAGTTGGACTTCGGATGAGTTAATTTTATTTTCATTGCCCCGATGATATCAACTCATCCGTAGTCAACAGTGTAATTTACTGTAATGTGTGGATGTATTGGTCAAAGGCCTTTAAAATCTCTAAAATCATCTTGACATTTTGAAAATCTCTCTTTTTTTCTGCCTCTCTCAATTCGCTCCTTTTATGAAAGGATTGGCAAGGGATTCTACGTTGTGTGGGTTTAAAAGTGCAATAAAGAGATATTTATCTTTCGCATGTGTCCATGTCACTTTCATTGTCAAGATTGTAAAACTACTGTATGTCTAACTTTATTTAATATACTACAGATTATCACTTTCAAAATAAAATGCTGGAACAGAAAGTGATAGGTTCCACTATAGTTCAGTTGGTATCAAGAAGGGCTATACTGTGGATAACCCTGATTCAAATTCCCCAAGAAACATTCTTGAACTTGGTGTTGTTTGGAGAGTTTTCAAAGCATCTTGTCTACTTTACTTAGTCCTATTGGGGTTGAGCATTAATTAGAAGGTCCCAACTTTTAGATAACCATCCCATGTTGAAAAGAGCATCAAGCCCATGCATACCTTGAAAGTACCAGAGCTATAATCATTGGAAAGCGAAGACTGGCTGGAAGCTGAGAGTACACAATGATCTCATCTATGGGAAGGTTTTAAAATTCTTTTTTTTTTTATCTAACACAAGACTGTCCACACGTTAATTTGGGTGTTTCCAGATGGAAGGAAAACTTTGGATCTCATGTTTTTCAATTTCAATTTGTCATTGGACATCGGGGCATGCAGAGATGTATTGTAAGTGAGATACATCATTTGGGCAGTAAGCAGCATCCGTTTTTTAATTAAAGCTGTTGAATTTGATAAGCTGAGAGATAATTCTTCCAAGAAAGTCTTTGAGCTTGGGTTATAGTTACTACAGAATAGATGTAGGCACTTCATGAAGATCAATCATAATATCAATTGCAGAGACCTTCAACACGACCTATCTGCAGGAGCTGAAACCGCTGGGAATAAAAAAGGGAGCCAAAAAAACAAAACAACAGCATGAGAGTAACATTTTTGAAAAAAAAATTAAAAGATTTATTCAGTGATACAGAAAGGAAATGGTCACAAAAGATTAATTACACTACATACTACATGTAATCGGAGAGAATTGAGGATTGGAGATAGACTTACTTAAAGTAAAGGATGAAATGGAGAGGCTAGCCAAGAATGCTGAAGGCGAGGGAAAAGCTTATTATAAAATTACTGACCTTTTGCAGAATCATAAAACAATTTTTTTCTATAAAAATAAAATAGTAATTGTACTGGTATACATGTACACTTGTAATAGAGAGAGAACTCGGAAGTTATTTCAAAGGAAATGGACAGAATACCAAAAGTATAAGAATACTAATTCTTAGAGAGAGATACGTCATTAACAGGTTAGACTGCGTAAATACTGCAAACATTCCATCCAGGCATGACCTTGGAAATATCTCAGGGCAAAATGGAAGATAAAATCAAGATAGTGAAACGTGACAAAGCGTGACAGTGGACACACTAAAGGCTGGCATACAACGGATCGTATATATTGCAAAACACAATAGTTGGGAGAATGGGCCTGGCTTTCCTGCGCTTATTATTATTTTTTTTATTTCCTTAAATTTTTCTCTGATCTCTGACTCTTTCTGTTGCCTTTCTTATATTCTACTGCTACTCCTTGGCTCCTTTCTACTGCTGTCTGTCAGCCACGCCCTGATCTTTTAGGGTGAGTAAGATCGAACACCTAGCCTTCTTGGATATGAAATGGCAGAAATCACGGAGGTACCGTGTGCAAGTTGCGCACGTTAAAGATTCCTTGGTGGTCCTGAAATCGATGAGTAGACTTCGGCCGCCACCCGAGCAAAATTCAAAATAATTCGTACCAAAATGAAAATGCTTTATGTGTCCAGCGCGCTCACACCATATCACCTTTTGCAGTTAAGTTGTAAGCGCTGTAAAACACCTACAAACAGAAATTCTGAATGGTTCTTATTGACTCGCACGTGAATAAAACGTTTCATACTACATTTTTGACACACATTTATTATTGTTATTCATTCACCATAATATTGATTCTTAGCTTCAGTTCGCCAGTCAGAGATAAAACATGCACAAGTTCCGATGTGTCCAACAACTGTTTTCTCCTCTCACTCACCCACTCTCCCTCCCCCTCCCCCCCTCTCTCTCTCTCTCTCTCTCCTCACACGCACGGACACATACATACACAACAACAACAAAAGCAACAGCAACAGCAACAACAACATGCAAACAAAACAGAAATGATGTAGTACAATGTATAGACAATGGCAATGGACAGACGCTCCTGCAGATCGGACTAAAGAGACATAAATTAATAATGAGAGAGACACGTAGCCAGATACAAAGATGCAGAATTGCAAACTGAGAGCGCTTTGGTCAAAGAGAATTTAAAACAATGAATGGGGAAAGAGAACAGAATAGCTGACGACGGGGAAACTAATAAATAAGTGAAAAGGGAAGACCAATAGACGAGAAACTATCAGAGCCGCTCACTTTCGGGAAAAACAAAAAATAAAACAACAAAAAAAGACTACCAAAGCCGTGCACACTCCGAGCCGCTCGCTTTTTGACGTTATCGATACAATGAGATTGTCGATTCCATCCAACGGTTACAATCTTCTTTACAAAATTACATGTGCTCTGTTGGCCTATATTCGTACAATTTCCATAAAATTCACTCTCAAGAAAAAGACTTTCCAATTGGGTAAATTGACAAAGTGGGTGAGGTGTGTTCGTGTAACGGAAATGTAAACTGATTTTCAAATTTGTGACATTTTTCCGTCTTTCATAAAGATTATTTAAGGATTTGTTGGGTTTTTTCTTTGAGTCTAAGAGTAGTACAGTGAGTGAGCCAAAATTACCCAGATAAGTGGTGCGTTGTAACACGACGACAGAAGGAATGTGTGTTAACAGTAGGGCCTATCGTTTCTCTCTTCATTGCCAGAACTGACACGAGGCAAGAGTGTTTTACTTTTCAAATGGGAAGTGAAGGGACTTAAATTGTTGGATGGTATTGATTTTGGTAACCGGCAATCTAATTGCATCGATATCATCAAACAGTGCGCGGCTTTGATAGTTTTTTTTTCTTCTCGAAAGTGCGCGGCTCTAATGTTCTCCCATAAACAGTAACACAGATAGATAAAGGTAAATTATGATAAAAAGCAGCCTGCAAATAACGGAATCATCTATTTTTTCCCCTTCAAAATGTCTATATATTTAAATGTGAGTCTGGCGAGGGTGTGGCGCATTGAGACGAAGGAGCAAAATAATACTATATTAATAGTCCTCTTTCTCATAGTTATCATTGTATTCTCTGTTATCAATAATGCGTCATTGTGGCAAGCAGGACCCTTGGACTGTGTCTATACTCGCCAAGTACACTTTGGCTGGGAACGGTATTGCTATGTCTGTGGTAGCAAGAATTACGTTGGTGTTCTGATGCAGGTACTATCAATTATCAAAATTGGTCTGTATTAGATTGGGATGTGAAAGCAGTGAGAAATCCAAGGGACACTGCAGTTCGATCTTTGAACAACTCGTCCAGAACTCTGCAGACAACTGTTCTGATAATGACCAGACATAAATCAATCTTTATCATGAACCATTGGCCACATTTAACTGGGGGCTTTCAGACTAGGGAACAAAGAAAACGTATGTTCATTGATAGTACAGCACTTTGGTTTGGTTCATTCCAAAGATGAGAACTATGGTCAGTTTCAATTACTTTACCAATCACTGAAAACGATAGCGGTCATGTGCAGATTTAACCACTGTTGTTGTCGGTCAAAAGGGATGCTGCAGGGCTTCGGCAGCCAAGTAGCCTGCTTGAGGGTTTGCAACCAGACGGTGCTGGATCAAATTCAAGGAATTTTTTTCTGTAAAATTGTCTCCTTTCAACTCTTTTCCCACTGTCTAGACATGTTCTTTCATCCGCTTTCTTTCCCCTTTCTGGCCGCCCACTCACCTGGACTCCTGACTCGTTCGACTGCTACTCCTGGTCCTATCTTACTGCTATCTTTCAGCCACACCCCTGATCTAAGGGTAGGTAAGATCTAACACGTAGCCTTCTCGGATAAAAGCGTAAAAATCTTGGAGGACCCATGAACAAGTTGTGCACGTTAAAGATCCTTTGGTGCTCCTAAAACCAATAAGAGTAGGCTTCGGTCGCCATCCGGGCAATATTTGAAATAGATTCCTTACAAAACTGAAAATACTTACAGTGTAAACAACCAACTTAAGTCATGCGCGCTCATATTGGCCTTATATACAGCTACAAACGCTGTAAAACTCTGATCAAAACCAAGAGAAACATACATTTTGAAGGATTTTCAATGTTGATACACTTTGAATTCATGTACTGTTCACAGCTGCATATTATAGGGAGAGTATCGTAGGCCTACTATGATTCTCTTATTGTACGGTTTTTGTGTAAACTGCGATAAAGCAGTAAGAGTATTTATCTTGTCTACTTAAAATCTAAATTATGTGAATATATGCAAAAGTGTGAATAAAAATTGTTGCTCCAGAATTGATGCTACTCTCCTAAATGAATAAATCACCGAGAACAGCTATGAACATGCTTACTGAATTTTTGTGGTAATAAATAACTTCATGTTGTACTCTGGTCTATTTGTACGAGTGTGGTGGGATTCATTTGGTTCTTGCAAGAGCTTGCAGGATGTGATCTTTGAGCTAAAAAAAAAGTTGCAAAATTCTGCGGATTTAGTGAGTATCTTCTCAATGAATGTAATAACTTGGAATGCTCTGGCCTGAAGATGTGGATTGCTTCTGGTCCTGAGCAGTGGACATGATTATTTGGTGTTACAAATGTACTAAGTGCGGGTCATCACCATCACTAAGACCCCCAAGCAGTTGTTGTCCTGCGTAGTGCACAAGTTATTTCATGTGGATATATGAAAAATGATGAAATAGTATAGGTTTAACGCCCCTATCAACACTATTAGGTTATTTAAAAAGCGGAGCCTCCGAGTTTATCGTCCATCCCGGAAAGGACCGAGCCAAATGGGAAATTCTTGCAAAGTGCCTTTCCCAAAGAAACAATGTCAGACCGAGCTGAAGCTCAAACACCCGTACCCCCTGGCTACCTTCGCCGTGTGTGGCTATGTGAGTATCATCACCATCACTAACACCCTCAATCAGTTGCTGTCCCCACCAAACACTTTCAAACTGTTTCTGTCACCACCGTGAATATCCTTAGGCAGTTTGCTACATTAGAAAAATTACAAAGTTCTTTTTGACACTTTTGGCTGTTTTAAGTTACAAAAACCATGAGGTCAGAAACCAAATATTCTGTCTGCTCTATCAAAATTGTTAGATTGTTCGGAGTCACTATCAAGTTATTCAAAGAATTGCATTTGAAAAAGCGTTCCATGACGCGAAACTCAAAATCTTTGACCTCAGTCTACTCCTTAGTTGATTTGTCGGAGATATCACTTTTTCCTTCCTTGAACAACCGAGGATTAGAATAAAAAAATATTTTCAAGTCATAATTTAGGGTATCTTTGTCTCGGACAGGAGTGGCAGAGATACCAAATGAAAACATGAAATGGGTTGGTCACACAGGCAGAGTAAAAGAAAACAGACGAACAAAAAGACGCACTAAATGGAGATAAAAAACAAGATGAAGAAGAAGACCAGAAAGAAGGTGGGCGGATATCATCAGGGAGCAGACGGGTGCAGAAAACGGAATAAATAAGAATAGAGGGTCACATGAATGCTATTAACACAATGTTGTAGTCACTTTGGAGTACTATCGATTTAATTAGATACCCCCTCCAAAAAAAAAAAGAAGAAAATTCCAAAGGCTCACAACAATAAATTACAGCAGAACATATCCCCATTGTCCCAGAAAGCCAGACTGGTGGCTTCTTGCAACTCTGTATGGAACTAGACAGAAAAGCAAAACGTAACGACCGCCTAGGGATGACATACTAGTACTAGGCCAACCACTTTCGTCTATTAGGGATTTTTTCTTCATTTATTAGTGAGCAGCGTTGAAGAATAAGAGAACGGCTTCCGGATCAGACTCTTAGCCATTGTCAGCAAAAGACATGGATTCGATTCCTGCAAAAGAAAAATTCAGTACAACCAGCTCTAACGATCACCTGTCCAGGACATTCAAACTATACAAACGACCTTTTCCAACTTCTCTCTTGCGTTTTAAAAATCTATATTACAGTGACACTATCCAAAAGGATCACCTGTTTAAGACGACCACTCTTTTCGACAATGGGCGGTCGTGTAGGAAAGTTCCCACTATCTGTTTGGATGCTTTATCCCATTCAGCCCGAGTTGGTTTTGGTAGACAGAATCCAAGCAGCGCACCTCGAAATGATAAAAATCATATTGATGGGGGCGTAAAATATTTACAATCATTTACAGCTATGGAGTTCCTGGGGTTGACTTCGTCAAATGTGTGAGCTTCATTGATATATCAACTCGACTAAAAAGTAACTTGTTAAAATCAGCCATGCAGTATTGATAAAGACAAACAGCAGTACATTGGAATTCTTAAGATATGCCATCACAATTGAGTTTCCGTGAGAGTCATTCACCTGTTTGAAGTGACCAGTTGTTGTCTCCCTTGTCAGGGCCACATCATCATCTGAATTGAGAGAAGTCTTCCTTTGTTCAGTGTCCTGTTTTATAAAAGATTGGCCAACATTGACCTCACCAGGATTGACCGCCAATTGTTGCTCTCCACTCCCCCATGCCGGTGATACACTGCCGTCCTGAAAGTGTCCCTTGAGTCTAGCACACACCACAGGCCCATCATGGTGTGAGTCATTTCTGGCAGAGTCTGGAGTTGACTCCTTTTTCTTTTGGCGACACTGCATGTGTACGACAGCGGCGAAGACAGTGGTGCCGTTGAGAACTAGCAAAGAAAAGAGGTAACTGATGATAATGGGGAAGTTTTCCGAGTTTTGTGGGAGCTGACTGGACACCGTGCTCAAAAACACAGACAACGACAACAACACTGTGATTGCAAAAGATGCCCGCTCGCCGCTGTCTTCCGGGAGAATAAACACGATAGAGGAGATAGCTGATATGAACATCGTCGGGACCAAAATATTGACCACGAAAAACACCGGCTTACGCTTTAGAACTATGTTTATTTCCACGATCGAGAAGGCCACATCGGTGAACAATGGCGATGATGCTGTGATTCGGGTGCTCACTAGGTCCCACTCTCCGTTCCGCTTGAAGTTGCCGGTCATCACGGTCGAGGGGTCTGGATAAAGCTTGATATCTGTAGCGAGGTCGTGTGTCATTATGGACATAGAGCACGTCTGACTGTCAAAGGGATAATACCGAATGTCAATATCACAGGAAATGGAAAAGATTGTTCCGGGAAGCCACTGTGACCTACCATCAGACAAAATGTAAAGCGGAGAGTAGTCATCCCCGAACACGTCTCGTTTGGCCACTGAGTTGATCACGAGAGTCCTGGGCCTCCAAGTGTCCAGGGGCAGTGGGTGGATCGCCGAGATCCCATCATAGTCACTGGGGTTCCAAGTTCGAAGCTCATCCACCCATGAGAAGTTGATCCACGCGTTTAAGTCGACGCGCTGTGTGACTTCGTCGATGTTCAGTATGTTGATAAGGAACATTTGGAAGTAAACTGTGATGGGCTCTGACTGGTTTCTCACTGGCTGTATTCTTTTGTCAAACGGTTTAAGAATGTCCGCATAGAGACGAACAGAATCATTGTAGGTCGAAGCTAAAATCAAAGACGATGGAGAAATCAGGCCGATGTAAAAAACCAGTTTCAAGGCCACACACATTCTCGCGACTTGAACAGCAGCGATAGATTCCCTCATATATGCCTCTTGCTTGCTGTTCAGGAAAAAGCAGAGGCGAAATAGAAGCGAATACATAGTGAATTACAAGTATTTGTTAAACACAGTGCGACTAGCTACAATGTACATCTATTTTTAACAAATGTTTAAATTAATTTTTTTAACTGATAATGTTTTTAAGAAACACAAAACATGTATCGCATTTTCATACAACTCAGCTGTACAAGCCAAATAGTGTCTATCTCTTCACCGGACACTTCAGGAGCCACCTGCCAGAACCCCCCCCCCCTTCCCCACCAAAAATTAAACAGTAATAAAAAATAAAAATAAAATGATATCCTACTCAAAGTATCTGAGATTCCGTCCCACTATCTATATCGAGACATTCTGTAGCCCAACTAGTGCTCAAACCTAATTAAGTCACGCAGTTGTGTTTTGTTCTTGTGGTGTCCATTGTCTTGGTATGAATGGTGTCATGACGGTCATTACAGTGACGTTGAACACAGCATTTTCACAGTTTATGCGCGGCAGGAAATGGCTTGAATTAAAACTTGGTTGTTGTTGTTTTTCTTGTAAGAGTTTTATGGTACTTGCAACCCAATAAGGTCATATACGTGCCGAAGATTAGATGCGTTACAAAAAAGTAACAAACACATAAAAGGAGGAGACATATATAATATAAGGACGAAAGACGTTTGATAGGAAAGAAGGAGCAAACCACACCAGAACACCCGCCAACCACCCACTAGGACTTGTCGATAAACAACGACCTGAAGGAAACAAGAGCCGAGAACATAGAGAATGTTTTACACCAGTCGTGGACAAACGTGTCCAAGTCGTGGGCTCGATTAAACGATTCCGAATACCTCGAGGCCAAAACAGGAGACAATTGAGTACAATCTGTGAAATACCCAAGCTATCAAAAGTGAGACTGAAACGGAAACTATAACGAGTGACGTCGAGTGGGTTGCAGAGGGTGAGATCACTCGGATTATAAAGGATGCGTATCACTGAAAAGACAGTGGAACATGCATACAGTCAATCCTCGTCCGGTCCAGGCTTGAATACGGCTGTCACGTCTATGGATTTGTTAAACCCCTTACCTTGAAAATGCTAGACCCTATACAAAAACAAGGACTCCGCCTCGCCCTTCAGGATTTTAGCACTTCTCTTGTGGAGAGCCTCCAGTCTGAGGCCGTCACTAACATTCAGGCAAACACAACTTTCATTACAGTACGCTATCAAACAAAGTTCAACACCAGAAAAACCAGCACACGACTGCATTTTAAAAGCACGCCTGGACGTAAGAAACAAAGAAAAACAACAACAACAGAAAGACAAACTAATCAAATCTATCGGTCTCTGCGTCCTTGAAGACCCCAAAAAGACATCTTAAAAAAACCCAACATAGAACATTTTCTTTTCCCCGACCTCCCTCCGTGGCACCTCACCAAGGCAAAAGTAGACCTACAATTCACCACATACAATAAAGCAAGCAAACACCAAAACACATTCAAAGCTGCATACGAAAATCAAATTTAAAAATACCCTGATGCAGAGCAGATATTTACAGATGGCTCCGGACTCAGCCGTAGGCGCCTCCACTCTGTCCATAAACAGAACAGTCCATGCCGGCTTTTTTTCAGTGGAGGCCATTTCCATTGATATTGCTATATAGTACTAAAAATACTATTGAGAAAACGGCCGATAAAAAAAATAAAAATATTGAATTTACGAGGAAATGTTGGTGACAAACATGCCCGGTATGCGAAGAAATAAGGCTTTAGGGGTTCTTATGCGATGAAATAGTGGTACGAGTGGCCATATAGTGTAAGCCTAATCTTTTCGGGTTTTTTGTGGTTTTTTATGCCCCCAAGATACAGAAGCATGGACCCACCAAGATTGCGTTCGTTCCGCAAGGAAGCAAGGTTGCCAAAAGAAAGAAAGCGAACGAAGCCATGAAAGACCAGAGCGGAGGCACATGGGAAGTAGCTGCTGACTTAAAAGGCTTTGAGAGATTCTTCCCCATTCCAACTACGAAAAAGCCAGACATTGTGTTATGGGAGGAAAAAGACAAAGAGGTACACTTGGTAGAGCTCACGGTGCCCCACGAGGACAATATCTATGCCGCTCATGAGCGGAAAGAAAACCGTTACGAGGCACTCGTCGAACAATGTGAGGAGGCAGGATGGAAGGCAACCCATTTCCCGGTAGAGGTAGGATGCAGAGGTTTTGTAGCAACAAGCGCCTGTAAGTGGATGAGAGTGGCAGGACTTACTGCAAAGAAAAGCAACGAACTCACAAACTCCCTTCAGGAGACAGCAGAGAAAGCCAGTCATTGGATCTGGTTGAAGCGAGAGGACTCAAGCTGGAATGAATCCTAAAGTTGGCAGCAGAGGAAAACAGTCGAACTAACATGGAGACCTCACATCGGTGAGGGGGCTCGGTGCGTCAGAAAAGCTGTAGAGAGGAAGAGCCCGAAACAGCGACGCATTCTCTCCTGATGATCTCCATGCTAGAGTCCGGGATACGGAGCGTTCGACGGTGAGCAGTGCATACGGCTGTTTAGACTACGTACCTACCAGTAGCAGGTGTATGCTACGGACATCCTGGAAAGACAGGACGACAACCCGGCGTGACGGGTGGACATCGGGAAAGACCGAGGACGTCGGGAAAGACCGACGGTGGCAGGGGCTAACTACCCAGGTCACTGTAAATATAAGTTACGTCAACCAATAGAAAAGACAGCCCCGGGATCCACCGAGAGGGGGGAGTAGAGGATGGATCCACAAGGACGGATTCAATGGACAATGACCTAAGCGTTAAAAGGACAATGCAGAAAGAGAATCAAGAGAACAGCTTTATGTGCGAGCAGTGCTACAGAAAGTTCGATACCTGGCGAGGGCTGAGAGTGCACCAGGGAAAAGTCTGTTTAAAGAAGAGAAGACAGTGCAGATCGTCAGATTGTAAGACGCGAAGCAAATCATCCCAGGATGAAAACCACAGCGGACCGATTAGTGCTTCAGTCGACTCTCCTTTCACCCTGTCTCAGCAAGAGATGGAACAGCAAACGGAACCAGGGTTACGGAAACCCAGAATACTGTGGCCTGCTGCTAACGAGAAGGCAAAATACAAGACGTTAGAAGAAGAAGTCCAGAAGAAATTGAAAGAAGTCAAAAAGAGTTCTAACAGAGGGGATGCTAAAGAAATATTGAGTGCGTTTGCGACCATTATCTATGACTCGGCAATAAAAGAGTTTGGTATTTGTGAAGGAAAGAAAAAGACGGAGAAGAAAAGTGGATTGAGTAGAAGGCAGAGAGTACTTGCACAGCTAAGAAAACAGAAACGAGACTTGCAAAAGCAGAAAAAGTACGCACCACCAGAAGAGATAGAAGGCCTAAGAATCTTGTTTGAAGATCTTAAGAAAAAGAGCAGAGACCTACAGAGGCACGAAAGAAGGTTTACCAGGAGAAAAGAGAGAAAAAGGGAACGTGAACAATTTCTGAAGAATCCTTATGAAGCAGCCAAAAAACTGTTCACAGAGGCACGGAGTGGTAAATTGGAATGTACGAAAGAGGAACTCGATGCTTATGTTAAGCAGACGTACAGCGATTCAAGAAGAGAAGAACCGCTTCCTTATATGAGAGGCCTGAAGCGTCCAGCTGCCCCCGTCGTCAAATATTACCTGGGACCAATTAGAGAGAAAGAAGTAGATGAGTTCGTAAAAAAAGCAAGAGCAAAAAGTGCACCTGGAGGAGATGGCGTGTCTTATAAGGTGTTCAAGTATTGCGACACGCTGAGACACACCCTCTTTGAGATGCTAAGAGGCCTTTGGAAAGACAAAGAAATCGTCAAAGATTGGTGCAGAGCGGAGGGCGTGTATCTACCCAAAGAACAGAATGCAAAGGAGATAGGACAGTTCAGACCTATTTCAATCATCAACGTGACGTGCAAGATCTTTATGGGAATACTTGCAAAGAGGACTGTAGCATATTTGCAAAGTAACGGCTATGTGGATGAAACGGTACAGAAAGCCGGGGTACCAGGGATCCCAGGCTGCATCGAGCATGCTTTCACCATTTGGGACACAATCCAAGAGGCCAAGAAAAACAAGGAAAGTTTAAACGTAGTGTGGTTGGATCTGGCGAATGCCTACGGGTCTGTTCCCCATAAATTGCTGATGAAGGCAATGGATTTTTTCTACGTCCCACAAGAGGTGCAAAACATTATGAGAGAATACTATAGTAACTTCCAGATGCGATTCTCAACCGCAAATTTCACAACGAAATGGCACCGACTAGAGATTGGGATTGCAGCTGTCTGCTCTATATCGGTCATCTGGTTCATCCTGGTAATGGAGATGCTACTGAGATCTGCAGAATGCTGTGAAGAAGAAGCAAGGGTGAGATCACCAAAGAAAGCCTTTATGGATGATGTGACCCTACTGACAAGAGATGGAGACACAATGCAAAGTGTGTTGAATCGGCTCGATAAGCTTATCACCTGGGCCAGGATGAAGTTTAAAGCTAAAAAGTCTAGAAGCCTGACTATTAACAAAGGAAAACAGAAGCAACTGAAGTTCACAATTGCAGGGGAGCAAATGCCCACAGTAAAAGAACAACCCGTGAAAAGTTTGGGTCGGTGGTACTCAGGAACTCTGTCTGATAGGAGTCAAGGCGTGGAAATCATGAAGCAGGCTGAAAATGGGCTGAAAGCAATTGACCAGACAAAGCTTCCAGGAAAGCACAAGATATGGTGTCTACAGTTTGCCCTCTACCCTCGATTGGCGTGGCCACTGACAATGTATGAAGTTGCTTTGTCAAGAGTTGAGATGATCGAAAGAAAGTGTAACAGCTACATCAGGAAGTGGCTGGGGCTACCCCGTACCATTAACACGTCATCCCTGTACAGACATAGAGGTGCGCTTCAACTACCTCTCACGTCAATTGTGGAGATCTACAAAGCAGGCAAGATTAGAACCGTTTTGATGTTGAGAGAATCAAGGGATAAGGAGATCAGTGGAAAACCTCCAGATGTCAAAACAGCCAGAAAGTGGAAGGCAGAAGTTGCAGCTAACGAGATCATCTCTGCATTGGAGCATGGGGACATTGTCGGTCCAGCGCAACCTGACAGATTAGGGCTAGGTAATGGCGACTTTAGACCTTTCAGGAAAATGTCTCAGCGAGACAGAAGAAAAGCTGCAACAAGACATATGCAAAAGATGGAGGCAGAGAGGCGAGAAATTCATCTCATCCAGTGTAGCCAGCAAGGACAAATGACCAGATGGGAAGAGCATGTAGTGGAAAGAAAAGTCGGGTGGAGTGACATCTGGAAGTGGAATACATCAAGGCTGAGCTTTCTTCTCCGGTCTACGTATGATGTTCTGCCTTCACCGGTGAACCTTGTCAGATGGAAGGTACAGTAGGACAACAAGTGTAGATGCGGTAAGCGTTTTTTAAATACAGCACACAAAATAAGCTGCAAAAATACAATTAATTGAAATATACAGCTTTCTTGTTGATGACAGTTTTGTATTAGAGTAGTTGATCATCTTACCTAATAACCAAGAAATCACCGTGAAAAATGAAAAAGC